CTCTGTAGGTTAAGGTATTTCTTTTCTTTTTTATCTCAAAAGTCATTTTGTGTCAGAGGTTATTTATGGTAAAGTGAGCAAAATTTTATTTATATGTGTGAGATTTACCCTTTAACTCCCAGAAGAGATTAACATGCAACTTCTCCTTATAATATCCATTCACTAACCAGCAAACAGGTGATGAGACTACGAACTCATCAGGTAGAAGTTGTTGCCTTGATCTAATGCCAAATTCTTGTAAGTAATTTACAATGAAGTGTTCAGCAAAAAGACCAGAGAGTGAACAATCAGAGCTTGGGAGTTAAAGAATTAACTTTGATAATTCACAGATTTTGAATGGATTGTTGACAAATCGTATATTCAAGATACTTTAAAATCTTTTTGAACATGGCAATTTACTAACGAAAATAGTTAGCAATTTGAACTTTATTGAACAAGGACTATTTAAAGATGTTAATTGTAGTATATATATATTTAGCAATTTCCATTTCATAAGATAGCAGTTTAATATATAACACATTTTAGATTTTAAGACACTGATTTATAATATCATTGCATTTGGTAATTGCCTGATTATCAGATAGTTTGTTGACACCTTTCCCTTCCTCTTTGTCCATCTCACTTCCCTTAATGAGGTCATTTTCTTTCTTTATAAAATGGCCTCTGATCAGAGCAAGCCCAGAACTTTCTCAGAAATGTTCCTTAAGGATTGCAAACAATCAGGCAACATAAATTGTGTGAATCTGTATAACTATCCATCTCAGAGCATCCAAAAAATCATAGTTGGGTTTTCAGTGTTCTTTTTAACAATCTAGATATAAGTTATGTGCATTATCAGCACATGAAAATGTAGGCCTTTAGGCCATTGACATATTGTATCAGTATTCTATATTTCAAGTCCACCCAAAGTGGATCTCTGTGAGGTAGAATAAATATCTACCATTGTAAAATATTTTTATCAGAACTGGCATAATGATGTAAAATACTGGCACACCTTTTTGATAACAAAATATTAGTTAAACGGAAGGGGACCTTATATTATGACAAGCATGATAGCCACTATGATGAGAACATTTTCAAACAAAGAACTTGACAAGCAAAACCAATAGCTGTGCATATGGTCATGAAATTCAGTTTGTGTTGGTTTTGACGGCAAAATGGCTGTCAGAGGCAACCCTTTCTGCCAACTGTCAAACATGAAAGTTCACCAAAAGGTTAAATGGCATGTTGTGATGAGAAACATGCTCGTGACAAGGCAATTTAAATGTCAAAATGTGGTCTCCAAATTTCTGTTATGTCTCACTGAACTGAAAATCTTAGTAATTCAAAAACAGATGTAGCACTAATCCAAAACCTGTTGATTGGCCTTGCCTAGATACAATAGCTGTCATTCTGTAAGGTCCCTTCTGATACAGCAGGGGAATATAACCAGCAAACTGGTATTGACTTTTGTTGTTGTTCTCAGTCTTTGCCTATATCCACATTGTTGAAAATTATACTTCCAAGAAAAGGGGCTTAAAATATATAATTTAATTAGAAACAGGTACTGAATTAAGATCAAGTATAGAACCACACAAAACAAAAAGGAAAATAAATTTCTTTTTCAGTACACTATTTTTGAGTTATTATGATTCCTCTTTCAAAACATCATGTACTGTCCCAATACATCATTAATATAGTTGTATTACCAAAAAAAAAGAATTACATGTAAAAGTAAGAAATCAGAGATTGTGATTCAGCAAACTTTGTGTTCAGCAACAAGACCTTTTTGAACCTTTTGCAGTTTACCATTAGGGGTGTCAACACAGGTTGATCACTCTCCCTCTTCACAGGTTTGGACAAAACAAGGCTGCTGCTTATCACTCTAACTTTTAATTTGAAGAGAACCAGCAGGTGGTAACACTTGACCATTGATATTTTAAGTACACCTTGTACAGTACTTTACACAGAGTGTATGATCCCACCTGTTTCAATATATACACTACAACCTAGCTTATCACTCTTTTTAAGAGAAGGGAACCAGCATGTGGTAACACTTGACCATTGATATTTTAAGTACAATTCTTACAGTACTTTATGCAGAGTATAATCCCTCCTGATTCAATATATACACTACAACCTAGCTTATCACACTTTTAAGTGAAG